ACGCAGCGCAGCCAGCTGCACGGACCAGGCGAACCGTCGGCCGGTCGGCGCTGTGAACCAGGTCCGGCACCGCGCTCCGCTCAGCCCACGGTCCGACTACGCAGCGCAGCCAGCTGCACGCCGCGCCATGGCTGGCCAGCACAGCAGGGGTCTGTACACCGCGTGCCAGACTCTGAGTCCGGAGGGAGGGACTAAGGTCATCATCGAGCTGTCTGGGTGGCGGGCGGTCGCCCGAGGGTGTCGGGCTGGAAGTAGGGAGCACACGGCCTGGCACGGCACGACACACTCAACGTTGAAGTATTAACCTGACTGTGGCAACATCACTGCAAATACATGGGAGGGAGGAGGGATAGAATGACGAGGATAAATCGTGGATAAATAACCAAACCATTAGTGCATGGGGAGGGGTTAAATCGGACTCAAACAAGTAACACATAAGTTTGTTTTACGGGCGCTTCAGGCGAACAGTCTAGCGTTCGAACTCTGAGCCACGCACAGCTTGTCTGACGCTCAACCCATCACCGAGCAGGCCACGCTGACAGGAAAGGCGAGCACCGCGGAGATACAGGGGCCCCATTCCTCGCGGTGCAGGCCGCTCCTGTCAGGGTGAGAGGCAGGCGACGCCGTATAACCTGACCTCCGTCTCAAATATTCCATTGCCTGTCGGACGCAATATTGTTGTCATGCGATGCGATGGGATTAAAGTATGTGCTGAAACGTTAACACATGCGTATAAAGTGTAAAAAGGTCAACTTCCTGCAGGCTTCTACTAAGGCAAAACAATGCCAAAGTCACTGATCAGGCCGCAAGATCTGCGCTCAAAATCTGCAAAAGATACCACACTATGTATGACAACAACTTACAAAAGCACGCCATAGATGTCCAGCGTGTGCAAACGTCATCATAGCACCGAATCTGCGCCCCGCCGCGCTGTGCTCGCGCCCCATTTGTTTCCCGATCTCAGAGCCGACAGCGCAGCACGCACAGCCGGAGCTGGCCGTTCGATTGTGTGAAGCACGCCGTCCTCATTACGATTTATAGCGGCCCCGCTGACAGCAGCAACGACCAACGACAGCCAAGCACGGGCGCAGAAAGGAGCAGACATAACGGCAACGCTGTACGTAGAGGTGGGAGCAAGCAGTGGCCGACGGCCGTCCGCCCCCCCAAAACATGCGGGTAAACAGGGGTGTTCAATCTACCGAACAGGCAGCTCATAATTCTATTAGAATGAAAAGCGCTGGCCGAAAACATCAAGCTTTCCAGCCCCGTTTGCGAGCCCTCGGAATGATCGTAAATTTAGTGCCTCTTCTAACACTGCTCTCACACATTCTTCCCAGATTTTAAGACCCACAATCAATATAGAACCATACACATGCATTGTTCCCGGAAGGAAACTGAGTCTGATCTGTGCTGACATCTTTTTTTGTTCCACCCCTTGTATGCTGAATGCTACTATGCATAACCTAAGCAAATAATTTTCACATGGCTTGACACAAATCACACCTGATAATGCGACAATAATATCCACATTAGTCAATTTTCAAGAATCCAACTACACTTCAAAGACAAGCACTCCTTCTTGCATTTTGGTGATGGTGTTCTTGGTGTTCTACGGAGGGCTGGCTTACCATTAGCAACGCAAACGCTGTACCTCGTCTTTGGATGCTGTGTGGAAAAATTAGTTATGATCACGTATAAATATGGCGCTCTTTATATGTTGAAAACTAGACATGATGACGCCACGTCCCAGCACATCCCTGATGCAATCCAGCAGGACACCACAAGCATTAATAGTCCATTTTCCAGTTAGGTTCAATCCGTGGATGATGGCAGCTTCCAGTATATGACCATTGCCAGTCGGCCTAACGATCATGGTTTCCACCCAATTTGCCACGTAGTTCTCATTCATTTTTCATGTAATGAATGTGGGCACTGTCTTCACTGAGTGTAACGGGAGAGATGATACAGGAGATGAAAAAGCCTCGGTAAGCTCATCGATGCCAACCAGGCCGTGATTTTCAATGGAAAAATGTGTTTCGCGCATAATATACACCCAACACCCATACACCCAATATAAGCCCATATATAACATATGGCTGTTCCCCATCCTATCAATGTCCGCTCGCAAATGATCAGTACAAATTAAAAGCCTAGCAATTTCGTCCTCTTTCCACAGCACTTTGAAAACATAATGCTGGGTCAGAAGATGGCGAGCAGTTTTAATCAGGTGCAGCAGAGCCAGTATGGGGAAAAGGTCAGTTTCGGCCTTAACTCCATGCCATTTAAGACAACAAGTCCAAATGATGGCTCCAGCTATGGGCTCCATGAACTGCTGACTTTGGCTTTCTCAAGGTGATCTTTCACTTCAGTTTACGTCCTGGCTTCTCACAAACGTACTGGTCTGTGCAGTCAACCCAATGTGCCACACAAACTTTCAAGGGCATGATTCATGCATGTGGAA